CCTGTGTGGCAGATTTGCCCAATGCAATACATCGTCTGATCTCTTGGGCAGTTAGCAGGTTACAATTCAGGCTCAGAAATGCTCGGGGCCCAGGTCTTCCAGTCAGGACAGCCTCTCCTCAGCTGTGCCCATAGACAGGCTTCTCCTCTCTCTGTCTGGGCGATGGTACAAGGCAGTTTTAGGGCTGCTGATAAATGCCCACAGGACACACCACTCCCCTATAAGCCTGAAGACCCTCGGCTCTAGCTCCATGGCTCAGCAAACCTAGCTTCCCCAGCTAAGTGCCTGGCGGCACCCCACTCTGCCCAGGCCACTCAGCTCCCCTTGCTCGGTGGGCTGTCTCATGCTCTGGTCTTGGTTCTGCTGCTGCTGCTCTGGTACTCCTTCAGGTCACAGTCTCTGTCCCTGGGCCAGGGAGGTTCAACCTGCAGGGATCTGGGGATCCAAAGGACGCACCTCACTCCTGACTCCTCGTCTTTGATGGTAGCGAGATAGCCCCAACCCTTTCTGATCTGAGATAGCTCTTTTTTAAGGCCACCAGAGCTCTAGGCTTTCAGAATCACAATTCAATCTGTTTAACAATCGCAACTGAATCACATCGTCCTATCAGCAGCATCTTCTTCCACCTTTTCCTACCCGTCGGGGCAAAGACATTGTCTGGAGGGAACTACAAGGGTTATGGAGTCCTGGTTAGCACTGTGGGTTAATTCTGGACTATAAAGTTGGTTTGAACTGCAAGGTAGGCAGTTCAAGCTCACCTGTCACTCCTCGGAAACTCTATACAGGGTCGCTGTGAGTCGGAACTGACTTGATGGCACTTAGCAACAACAACAAGGATTATGGGTAGAAGAGCCGTATGTAGCAACTCAGTGCACTGCAGGGACACAATTCAATCAGTGACACTGTCGAGTAAGCGTACAGTAATATAGCGGATACCCTGGATGAAACAGGAAAATTCCTCAAAGTCAAATAAAGAACAGCCACACCAGTGGTTATGGAGCTTCTGCAAGAGCGGGGCACATCTTGGTCTTAATACAAGGGGTCCCCCCGTGAGTCAGGGTGACTTACAAGTCTCTTCATCTCTCATCTTCTGGCCCCAAACCCTGATTGTGGCCACGGTGCAGGCCAGCAAACAGAACTGCAGGGCAGTGAGGTTCTCACAAATGTTTGTTGAAATGAGCCAACAAGAGCAAAGACAAACTAGGCATTAAAAAGGAGCAGGTTAACCATGAAGGGTAACAATACGGGGGATGGTTGCTTACCCTAGAAGCAGAGCTAAGTTTTTCTTGCAAGGATGTTTAACCAAGCGTGGCGTCTTATATGTAGAATACAGGAAATCCTACAGAGAGAACCATACGATTGTAATCCTATCCATAGTCAACACGTAATTAACAACAAATAAAAGCCCATGTCCTAAGCTCAAAGTTAATGTGAATAATATGGACGGTTTGTATCAATGGTAATTTCCTGGTTTTAAGATTGTACTGTGGTTATATAATATGCTACCATTGAGGGAAGCTTGGGGGTGGGGGTGGGGGAGACTACTGGGGATCTCTCCATACTATTTTTGCAATTTCCTGTAAATCTGCCGTTTAGGTCAATGTAAGTTAAAAAAAACAACAACAACAAACTCACAGTCTCATTTCTTGCATATGCTACAGGTAATCCGTTGAGAGAGAGGCCAGAAAGTCAGAGATTCTTAAAGCTCACCAGGGAGAAACCTGGTAAACACTATCCCTTCTGAAATGATGCAATGTTAGGAGGAAACGCATGTTCACTGATGAAATACTCCCCCTGCATTTCAGCCAGACATCCGGTGACAGAATGTTTCCTGCAACACTACATCTTATCACCAAAGTCTAACAGGGTTTACCTCTTACACAGTTGGCATTGAAAATCTCCTACCAAACAGAGGTATAGACAGAACTGAATAAAAATACCAACAATCTGTTTTCTTTGCCCAGTTGACCCTCTTGGCTTTGTTTGGGTACCTTTAGCTGCTCTCCACTTGCGTCTTAGTGAAATGGGGAAAATGACTGCTTTCTTCCAAGGGCAAGTGTGAGGATTAAATAGAGAGATATGGTTGAGATGCCAACACAGCACTGGCACCCAAGATGACTAGATGTTAGCTCAGGGTAGTCATTAGAGAAACTTCGAGAACTGATGGTTACATAGGAGCTACATACCCCAGTTTGCTTGTAGGTATCAAACAATTTCCCTGTCTTCATCATTTGAAAACTAGAGGCAAGGGACAGAGACCATCCATCAATTTCTTACTGAATATTCAGGGTCAACAATGTGGCTCCTCGCTATCAGGTCTCCCCAACGCCTATAGAGTAAGCACCCTTTCTGATGTTTTCAGGGTTACGAGACCCTTGGGACTCTGAGGATACTGTGCACGCTCTCCTCCCAGGAACAGACAAGTTGTTGTTGTTGGGAGCTTTCAAACTGATCCCAACTCTTCACAAACCCAGGAGATAGAGTAGAACTGTCCCCAGAGGGTTCCCCAAGTTGCAATCTTTCAAGGAGTGGGTTTGTTTCCAGGTCTGTCACCCACAAAGCAGCGAGGTGATTTCAAACCACCGACCTTTTGTTCAACAGCCAAGCACTTAACCATTGTGCCACCAGGGCTCCTTAGAAATGGGCATAAATATCAAACATGCGGATAGAATTCCCAGGAATAAAGATTACCAGGCCCCCAATTAGGACGTCTTTCTTGGGTTTAATAGCTACCGTATGTGTTGCTGTTGATAAGTGCCCGAGTCGGTTCAGACTCGTAGCAACTCTGTACAGCGTTTCTGAAGAGCAGCTGGTGAGTTTGAACCGCCGACCTTGCAGTACAAACCCACCTTGTGGGTGAGTGCTTACCGTGCATTACCACATATTTGAGGTTTTTATACATCATTTCTCCTGAGGTGGGGAGGACTGACAAGGTGATGGAATAGGTTCTCAAACTTGAGTGTCAACCAGAGTCACCTAGAAACCAGTTGTCAAGTTGACTTTAATTCACGGCAACGGGGTGTGTCCCAGTAGAACTGTGGGCCATGGGGTTTTCAGCAGCTGATTTTTCAGAAGTAGATAGCCAGGCCTTTCTTCCAAGATACCTTTAAGTGGACTTGAATCTCCAATCTTTGCTTAGGAGCTCTCTTAACAGTTTGTACCGCCTAGGGGCAGAGGGCGTAACAGTAAATCTGTTCCCAAGGTTGACACGGGTTCAGGTTGTGTTCATGAACTGAAGGAAGAAATGGCTGGAGCCAGACTGCTGTTCAGTCCCCAAGGAACATGTGGCAACCCCAGAGGTTTTGATTGTTGAGCATAGGGAACCGGATATCTAGTGGGTGAAGTCCAGGGATAGGACTAAATATCCTATAACATACAGGACATCCCTCTACGATAAGAGTACTGCCATTGAGAACTCTGGGCCAAATTGTGCCAGGCACAGCAGCCAGCCTGAGCCAGGAACTTGCCTTTTCTTCTGGGGTTACAGAGACCCAAGGGAAAGGAATGAGAGATCCAATCCAATCCATTTAAACAGAAGCCTTCTGGCTTCCGGTGTAGAACAGCATGAATGGCAAAGACTATGGGACTTAAGTGCCGAGGAGTCAGTTTCAACTAATAGCTGTCTTGTCTAGGGTTTCCGAGGCTGCAAATCTTGGGATTGTTGTAGCGTAGTGGTTACGAATCGGGCTGCGAACCTCAAGGCCAGCAGTTCGAAACTACCAGAGGCTCCGCGGGAGAAAGATGAGGCGTTCTGCTCCCGTAAAGATTTACAGCCTCGGAAACCCTGTACAGGGTGGGTATGGGTCGGAACCGACTCGATGGCACTTAACAACAACAACAAAGGGGGGGATGGAGCTGGAGTTTTGCAGTAGAAATGTGAGGGCTTGGTGATGGGCTGTCAGAGTGGAATGTAAGAAAGGAAGGTATCAAGTTCTACTCACTGGGGGAGTTAACCAAGATACCTCAATGAGAGTGATGGTGTTGATGGGTGCAGTGGAGTGTTTTCCCACTCATAGTGGTCCTGGATAAGGTTTCTGAGGCTGCAAATCTTTACTCAAGCAGAAAGCCTAATCTTTCTCTTGCAGAGCAGCTGGCAGGTTTGAACTGCTGACCCTAGATTAGCAGTTCAGTGCTTATCCCAGAGCCACAGCCCTCCCTCATTAAGAATTGTTGTTAAATACTGCCAAGTGGGTTCCGACTCAGAATGATCCTGAATAAGGTTTCCAAGATTGTACATCTTTGCTCCAGGGCACATAACAACAACAACAACAACACATCTTTGCTGGAGCCGAAAGCTTCATCTTTCTCAGCTGGAGGGACTGAAGGATGAGAACTGTAACCTTTCCATTAGTATAGTTCAAGGGTAACCTTGAAGAGGCGGGGGGGCCTTTTTTCTGCCCAAATCTACATCATTTGCGGGCCATACAAAATTATCAACTTAAAAATTAGCCTGCTATATTTGGTTAAATCTTTAGTTAATTCACAGGCTCAAGAGTAGCAACAATAGTGAGGTTGGCATAGGATCGGGCAGTGTTTCATTATGCTGTGCACAAGGTCGCCATGAGTCGATACCGACTCGATGGCACCTAACAACAAATATGATAGCCGGGCCTTCTGATGTGGTACTGTAGGATCAGCACCGGACTGAACCACAAGGACAGCGGTTCAAACCCACCAACTGCTCTGCGGAAACCCTAAAGCAGGGTGCTATGAGTCAGAAGCAACTTGACGGTACTTGACAACAACGTGCTGGCTGAAACTGCGCGGTTACCTTGGCAGGGCCAGACTAAAAAAATCGCGATAAGGCCCGCGCGCCAGACCGTCCCCACCCCTGCACTAAGCCATCAGGGTTCCCATGAAGAAGAAAAGGGACTGGAAAGCGGAGACTGGCGTTTTTCCCTCGATTCCGCCCGGGGGTCCCGCCGGGTCCCTCAGCGCAAACACTAGCCAGCCCCCTCGCGGCCCCCGGCAGCACCCCAGCCCTGGCAGGGCAATCCCACCGGCACAGCCGAACAGCTGTGACCAGCGGCCAGAGCCGCACGGTCATCGACATCACTAGCATCAGCACCAGCATTCCGCCGCACCTCTCCGTCTACCACCAATCTATAACTGCCGCGGACGTGAGCTTCAATCCGCGCATGCACCCCAGAACCTGAGCATGCGCACGCCACTAGCGCGACTTAGCGCCAGAGCGCATGCGGAGAGCTGCCCGCATCATCTCTAAGGCTGCTTTTGCAGCATCAGAAGTTCGCCGTTGAGGGCCCTGGCCTATGCCTACACCTTCCTCGAGAGCCGAGGGGTCCTTGAGTGTGCTAACAGGGAAACTGGAAAATGCAAAGGTGACGAAGAACACGAAAACAACATCCCACAGTTGAGGAGAGAACGCGCTTCTCCAGGCACCTCCCCGTTTCACGCCCCCTAGGACGCTTGGGGGCGTCACGTGGCCCCGCCTCCGCCCGGCGAACGGAAATGACGCAATCCCCGCGCGCCGCCAGGATGGCTGGGGCATGGCGGCGGGCACAGGCTACGTTCGGCTGTGGGGCGCAGCGCGGTGTTGGACACTGCGGCGGCCACTCCTGGCCGCCTTGGGGGGACGAACCCCAACTGTGGCCCAGTCCTGGCTGGCCAGGGGTCGGCGGGCCTGTGACGCCTCGCTACCGTGGACTCTGTGGGGTCGAGGCCCCTCGGCCATTGGTCAATGGAGGGGACTTTGGGAAGCGAGTAACCGCGGTGGCAGCGGCGCATTTTCGGGCAATGAAGACGCCGCCGAAGGCGGCGCGGAGGATGGGACCGGGAGCTCTGGGGGCAGCGCGGGCGGCGGGGAGGGCCCGGTCATAACGGCGCTCACACCTATGATGATCCCGGACGTATTCCCACACCTGCCGCTCATCGCCGTCACCCGCAATCCGGTGTTCCCGCGCTTTATCAAGATTATCGAGGTAATGAGAGGCCCCGCCTCGGCCTCAGTTTCCCCTTTGCAAGCTGCGGGTCAAACCGAGGCATTGCTTAGCGTCCTCAAGCATTTCAACTTTTTCAGATACGAAGTTTCTCTAACGCGGGAATTCGAATCCCTGTCTGCTACCCCTTACTTGGTGACCCAGAGCCAAATTCCTTGTATTTTAGGATCCTTTAGAATGTATCATATGACAGGAGTTGAACAGGACGGCCCACTTGGAATCCCAGTCTTGGAAATCAGGGCTGGGAGATGCCTGAGTAATATTGCAGTCCAGTTACTTTCCAGAGGTTCTTGGTAAATGTAACATCTATCCCAAGTGGTTGGCCTTGTGGTAAAGGGTCACTTTGCAAGATTCCTTATGTGTTTCCTGAGCATTTACCATGTACCAGGCATGGTACCAGGTGTTGGTGATACTGGTGGTGAACAAGACAGTTTCAGTTCATTCTAGTAAGATGAGAAGGGCAATAAACTAAAATAATAGATAATGTTAAGTACTATGGGTAATAGCTGAGCAAGAGCTGATACAGGAAGCTAGTGAGATGGGGACCGAAGTTTCCCTTTTAGTCTTTCAACAAAGTGTTCTAGCCCTTCTCCCTTCTGGCAGGCACTGAGGACACAGTGGTGAGTAAGTCATACTCAATCCCTGTGCTTAAGTAGGAATGAAAAAACAAGATCACCTCAAACTTAAGGAAAGGAAAGGAAAAAAATCCAAGATGATGTAATAGAAAGTGACACACAGGCAGTGAAAGTTCAAAGAACTTGAGAATTTAAGGTAGGAAGGACCCAATTAATTGCCTTGCCCACCCACCAGCTCTTCCTCTTTTGATGTGGACACTGGAGTCCAGGAAGGAGCAAGGCTATCTTAAGTACATGAACAAGGTCGGATGAGTCAGCTCTGCCCTGGCCCGCTGGACTCCGCTAACGGGAATGTCAAGGATCCTGTGGGAGATGAAAAGATAACACAGGGGCAGTAACCAGTTTGGGAAGAGAGGAACCTTCACATCCTTTCCCGCACTCCTGTCCTTTCAAGACCCTTCCTTGAGCTTAAGTAGTGGTAACCAGTGCAGGCCCCAGAGCCGGAACGAGGGGTTTGTAGCCTGGCTTTGTAATCTCTTAGACAGGCTATTTCTCTAGGCCTCCATTTTCTCATCTGCAAAATGGAAATAATCATATTCTCTCATCTCATAAAGAGCCCCAGTGATATCACAGTTCAGTGCTTGGCTGCTAACTGCAGAAGAAAGACCTGGCAATCTGCTCCAATAACAGTTACAGCCAAGAAAGCACTGTGGGGTAGTTCTCCTCTGACCCACTGGGCCACTGTGAAGCAGAATGGACGTGATGGCACCCTTCAACAGTCCTGACAAGGGAAGGGTGCCGATGCAGAGGCTGCGATAGCCAGCCGTTAGCAGACGAGACTGGAACTCCGGAGGTTTCTGAGGGCCTTAGTAGCTGCTCTGCTTGGCAGCTGGTTGAGTGTCCATGTATAGAATGATGGCTCTGGGTTTTGGTGAGTCATGTCTCCTCCTGACCGATGCTATGACCCTCTTCCCAGAAAAATCCATCTATTTAAAAACAACGTTTTTGGTTTTGTTTTTTTTGCAGTGGAGTTGACCCCGACTTCTGGCTACCCAACGTTTGTCAGAGTAGAACTGTGTTCCACACAGTCTTTAATGGTTGGTTCTTTGGAAGTTGATTGCCTGGCCTTTCTTCCAAGGTGCCTCTGGGTGGACTTGAACTGCCAACCTTTCGATTAACATTCAAGCACATGAACCATTTGCACCACCCAACCAAACCATGCCCACTGCCGGCAACTACAACCCGTGGCAACCCTGAAAGGCAGAAGAAAATGGCCCTGTGGGCTAGCATCTTCACCAGTGCACATTGCCATATGCTTCCCCTGGGGAGCTGCTAGGGAGTTTAAACCACCAACCTTTTGGTTTGCAGCTGTACCCTTTAATCACTGTGCTGTCAGGGACTCCAAAACTCAGGTAAACAAGCATATATTACCGATCCCTTCATGTAATTCTGATGCCCACTAAAATTTGATGGCTGACAAGTTGAGCCAAAGTCGAGTTCAGGAATTGAAATCAGAGTCCCTGGATGGTACAAATGGTTCACCTGTTCAGCTGCTAACCAAAAGGTCAGCAGTTCAAGTCAACCCAGAGGCATCTCAGAAGCTCCCTGGCAGTCTGCGTCTGAAAACTCATAAAGTCATTGAAAACCCCAGGGAGCAGTTCTAGTCTGACTCACATGACACTATGAGTCAGGGTCAAGTAGAAGGCAGCTAGGTTTGAAAGAAACACTGAGCTCTGAGGGCCTCGGTGCTCCCAGCTTCCTAGATGCTTCCTAGAAGTTGGCCCTCACCTGTGTTTGTGGGATGTGGAGTGTGATAGTCCTGAGGGTTGTTTCCATAGCTGAATAGTGGAGAGGTGGGACTAAGAAACCATTTCCATTCCACCCAGGTGACACCCTCAGCCTGTAGGACAGGGAGGCATAGCCTCTACACAAGCTTAGTGTTGCCCTTTGGACATTAATAAAAACAGGATGCTTTTGGTTTTTAAGCAAAGAGTTGAAAATGGATGTGACATTGATCTCTTGGTGCTGGCTGTTTGTCTATTCTGTGCGTGTGTATGTGTGTGTGATTTTTGTTGTTGAGACTGCACACAGTAGAACATACACTAACATTTTCTCCACCATCTTCTTGGGTGGTTTCTTTCCCATTAACATCGCTCATTTCCCCCACCCTTTCCAGTTGCTATTATCAGTTCGATCCCAACAGGGAGAGTTCTTAAAAGAGCTGGACACTGCTAGTTAAGTGAAGCTCATTTAATTTGAAGACAGCTTCAGGGGATATTTTTGGTTTAATATTTAAAGATAAGCTCAGGGCAATAGTTTTGAGGGTTCACCCAGCCTCCAAGGAACCCATTAAGGACTATAACTATTTAACACTCTCTCCGTCTGCTCTCCCTGCCTCCCTTTTCCCAGCCCTCCCCTTTTCCTGCCTGGGCCCTGTACCTTTGTGCCTGGGGTGAGATTAGCATATCCCCAGAGAAGAATACTAGTGGTTGTCAAGTGCCCTCAAGTCGCTTCCGACTCATAGTAACCCTGTGTAGGGTTTCCAAGGAGCAGCTGGTGAGTTTACCATCGACCTTGCGGTCCAGTGCTTATGGTACAGCGCCACACCAGGAGAGAGAATCCACTAAAATAACTGTCAAAATGCCGGGAAGCATGTCTGCCTGGAGCTTCACTCGGGTCATTGTCATGCTAGGTTAAAAATAAGAAGTTGGTTGAGCTGCTAAGAAGGAAAGTTCGTCTTGCCCAGCCCTATGCCGGTGTCTTTCTAAAGAGAGATGACAAGTAAGTGGCATTTTCCTTCATACCTTTGTCCAAGTCACCCTGGAGTGTAGCTCACCAGAAATTCTAGCTCTGATCTTTGACCCTTTCCCCAAAAGAATCCTAACAAGGTCAAGGCCAAGAGACCCGCATACCTTTTCAGTCCCGGCTGAGGATTTAGCTCAGCAAAAACCGTCAAGACTGGGGATTAACCTGGTTAACCTGAAAAACCCTTAATACAATGCTCCTTCGGGGCAAAATTGACCAGGCCCATCCCCAGATAGAGTTAGTTCTATTTACAGTCCCACAGGCAGGGGCTGTACATTAAAATCACAAGCCCCATGAGTGACCACCTACGCCACCTGGCGTTCCCACAGCCCTTCCCCCCCCCCCACAGGCACCTGTGTGCACCTCTCCTATCCCCCTTCCCACTCTCAGCCCAAGCCATCCTTCGAGAGCCCAGACATGTGCTGATAACCTCATTGTGCCCTCTTGTCCCAGCAATGAGTCTGACGTGGTTGAGAGCTTGGATGAGATCTACCACACGGGGACATTTGTCCAGATCCACGAGATGCAGGACCTTGGGGACAAGCTGCGCATGATCGTCATGGGGCACAGAAGGTGAGGATACAGGCTGCGACTAGGGGCGTAAGATGAACCATCGAGCACGGGCCCAGCACTGAGCTGCCCTATCGGGTACACACACTACAACTTTGTCACAAGCAAGGATGGGCCAGAGCAGAGGCGATGTCAGACATGTCCCTGCCGGGTTCCTCAGTCCCGTTAGGCTGGTGGTCTGGGTAGTCGGTGAGAAACATCCCCTTTAAAATTTTATTCGTGGCAGTAGACACAACCAGACACACTTCCATTCTCAGTTTCTCTGCAGACGGGCCATATTTTGATCATTTCTTTTGAAACTAGGATTCATGTTTATTTCGGAAAGAGAATTGAACCAAAACCAAGAACTTATCTACATACACTGTCAGTAGCTAAACCCATGGCCCATCAATGGGACTCCTAGCAGTCAAAAGCCATGAAGTCCTGGCCAATGTTAGAATGTGGGCGAGCCTCCCACACATGCTGGGTTGAAAGCAGACACAGAAAAAACGAAGCAAGGTGAATGCTTGTCAGGAGAGGGGTTGGAAACTCCTCCAGGGGGTTGGCATCAAAGGCTGTTGAACTAAAAACTTTCCCACTGTTTCAAATGTACCCCTCGAGGTTTTCCTCAAACAGTTGTTAAGTGCCGTGGAGTCAATTCTGACCCTAGCGACCCCATATACAGTTCACGAGAAGCAGCTGGTGAGCTTGAATTGCTGACCTTGCAGTTCAAACAGCTTTGCAGTATGGTGCATTAACCCCCAGCGCCACACCAGGACACATTGCTTTGCTTCATCATTACCTATGGGGGCTCTCTGCCCCGGGAAGTTCCTCTTTTACTTCTCTAGTTTATGTGTTATACTTTGTTTGTTGTTGTTGTTGTTATTGTCAGGTGCCATCAAATCGGAACCGACTCATAGCGACCCCATGCACAGCAGAACGAAACATTGTCTGATCCCGGGCCAACCTCACTACCTCTGCCACACTTGAGTCCATCAATGCTGCCACCTGGCCAATCCATCTCATTCGTGGTCTCCCTCTTTATCTCTATCTCTGACCCTTCATCTTACCCAGCATGACATCCTTCTCCAACGACTATTCCCTCCTGACAATAAGTCCAAAGTATGAGAGACGAAGCTTAGCCATCTTGGCCTCTGAGGAGCACTCTGGCTGCACTTCTTCCAAAACAGATCTATTGGTTCTTTTGGCAGTCCATGGCACTTTCAGTATTCTCCAACACCATAATTCAAAGGCATCAATTCTTCTACGATCTTCCTTATTCACTGTCCAGCTTTCACATCCATATGAGGTTATTGAAAATACCATGGCTTGGGTCAGGCGCACCTTAGTCCTCAAGCTGACATCTCTGCTCTTCAATACTTTAAAAAGTTCCTGTGCAGCAGATTTGCCCAGTGCAATACGTCGTCTGATCTCTTGACTGCTGCTTCCATGAGTGTTGATAGTTGTTCCAAGAAGAATGAAGTCCTTGACAACCTCAGTCTCTTCTCCGTTGATAAGAATGTTGTTTATTGGTCAGTACGCTTTTCTTATTGACCCTAAAGTCCTGGCCAGTAACCTGTGTCCATTGAGTTGGGGCTTACCCCTCCCACTCCACCCTGGGTGTCCGAGCACATTGGTATTCCCTAGAGTTTTGATAAAGTGTAAGGTCAGCAGAATCAGGAAGACCCTCCATCCTATGGATTGACACAGTGGCCCAAGCCTAAGGAATGTGAGGATGGCAGTAGACCAGGCAGTGCTTCGCTCTGTCGTGCACTGGGTCACTATGAATCGGAAAACCACCTCGACGACACCTAACAACAACAGTGTTTCAGGAGTAGGTTGCCAGTCCTTTCTTCTGACGTACCTCTAGGTTGAATTGAACCTCCAGCCTTCCAGTTAGCAGCCAATCACTGACTCGTTTGCATCCCCGCCCCAGGGAACCCTGACTGAGGTGCCGCCTGTACCCATTCAGAGCAGCTGCAGACACAAAGCACTGAGTTCCTTCTCTCCAGCCTCAGAGCGCGCGCTGCTGTTCACGATTTTGGGTGCTTTCCTCTGTGTGCCTGTGTCTGCCTTCAGATCATGTGACACATACAGCTCAGCAGCTGACGTCACCTCAGCTGGTGTGTTGCTGTGTTAGTAAGTTTAGTTTCTGTCTCATTCCACTGAAGGGCTGCACGTGGCTTTTGAAAAGCCCAATTTTGGCTTGGCTGACAAGGGGACTGGAACCGGTGGATGTGCTCTGCTGGACACTGCAGAATTAAAGGTCTGAGTCCATCTAGAGGGCCCCGGGAAAAAGGCGTGGCAATCTCCTTGCTGAAGTCAGCCACTGAACACCCTGTGGGGCACACCTCTGCTCTGGCACACAGGCACGGGGTCACCGTGAGTTGGAGCCAACATGAGGGCAACTGGTGGGTTTGTTCATGAAGAAAAAGGTGTAAGATGGGGTTACAGCTGACCTTCTCGGTGGAGAGACAGCTTTCCAGTTGTGTTCCTGGGACCTTAGGGCGGTGCTCAGAAGCGTTCTTGGTCTCGTGCACATGGGAAGTGTTCCGTGCCCGCTCTACCTCGTGCAGAGCCAGCAGCTGTCAGTGCATTTATTATTGGTTGCTCCCCTGTATGTGGCGAGTAGCACTGCTCCATAGGGTCTTCAAGGCGGTCACTTTTCAGAAGCTAACAGCCAGGCCTGTCTTCCAAGGCTCCTCTGGGTGGTTTTGAACCATTAACCTATGGGTTAGTAATCTAGTGCTTAATCATTTATGCCACCCTGTTGTTGTTAAGTGCCGTGGAGTCGATTCCGACCCATAGCGACCCTGTACAGGGTTTCAGAGGCTGTAAATCTTTACGGGATCAGAAAGCCTCATCTTTCTCCCACGGAGCGGCTGGTAGTTTCGAACTCCTGACCTTGTGATTCTCAGCCCGATTCGTTACCACTATGCTACCAGAGCCACCTTGGAGTCCTTATTGCAGGAAAGGCTCTGAAAAGCCTCTCATGGGAGATGCTTGTTGAAATTTGAGGAATCAAGGTTTTCCATTCTTTTTTGCTCATAGACTGTTTATCTGTCCGCCTGGCAGTGCCTCCAGAACACTCGGGGGAAATGGTGGTCTGTAGCCTGAGGACATTCGCTTCTAGTTCGGCTAGACTGTTGTTTGGTGCAAGAAATTTCAGGGATCGTTTCCGTTTGGAGTTGGAAAAATTCCTCAGGGGTTAGTCTGTGTCAGAAACTCTGTGGTATCGCTAGGGGTCCGAACCAGCTCACCAGCATGCAGCAGCAGCGTTCAGCGCTTATAACCCGGAAGTGATTGGATTGAGACCCCACCCTACTCGATATGATGGGGTTCACAGAACAAAGGAAACCCTGTTTCCAAACAGGACCACTCCCACCGCTACAGTGGCTGGGATTCCAGCACTTTTGTTGTTACTTTTTGTTGTGAGTTGAGCAAAGATTTGCAGAGCAGGTTGCCGGTTTTACACGCAGCAGTTCATACTCAAGCACATACTTTAGGGATGCGGTTCCGAACATGTGCTCTGTATGAAATGGTTGGAGGGCCGCTCGGAAGAGGTGCCTTCTGGCTCTGTGTGCTGAGCCAGTGAGGGCAGCGGTTGGGAGGCTTCCAGGCTGCTGCCTCAATCGCTATGTTCGGAAGGCACATGGGAAACGGGCTGTGGGTGAGTCTGGCTCTAGTTCAGAGAGGATGTGGCGCTGGCCTTAGGTCTCAGAGCCAGCGGCTCGTTTCCATCCGAAGACCCTGAGGTCACCTTCCCCAGTGGCTGCAGGCACGCACCTTCGCTGCCCACCCTGGCTGAGTTGTTACAGCGTGCCCCAGCGTGTCCCTTCCGCCTCGCTCTTGCCTTCAGGATTCACATCAGCAGACAGCTGGAGGTGGAGCCCGAGGAGCCAGAGGCAGAGAACAAGCAAAAGTCTCGGCGGAAGTCCAAGCGGGGCAAGAAGGAGGCAGAGGACGACTTGGCCACCAAGAGCCAGGTGGAGTTGGTGATGGAGCCTGACCTGGGTGCCCCCCACGAGGTGCTCATGGTTGAAGTGGAGAATGTTGCCCACGAGGACTTTCAGGTCACCGAAGAAGTGAAAGTGAGTCTGTGTGCAGTGGTAGAGCCACACCCCTTCGTCCACTTTCCCAGTGGACACCTGGGGCAGACATCACCAGTCGATCACGGCACGCCTCCCATCAATCTCAGACTCTTTCGTAACACAGTGCTGCCTCACAGAGGGGTCCCCTATCACCATGAGCCCGTTTTCAGGATGCACCTGGCATGTTGGGGCCCACATGGTCTTATTGAGTAAACTTTCCTTATGAAAGGCCTTGGAGGAAGCTGGGGTCAAAGGGGAAAGGAAGGTGCCCTTGGCTGCTTGTGGATAAAGCAGAATTTGAACCCAGGCCCAACCCAGCTCAAGTCCACTGTGCAGAAGCTGCCCCTCACTGTGTCTAACGTGCCTTCTCTGCTGGCCCTTCCTACCAAACCTGGAATACAGGGCCGGGGAATGACAGGCACTGTGTTGAAAAGGATTTGAAGCCTTTGAACTCTGAGGAAATGATTCTGTGATTGATCGATTGGTGATGTCTGCCATGGTCCTGGAAGGGAACTCGCCGTGTTTGCTACTAAAACCCCAAACCCACTGCCATCGAGTCGATTCTGACTCATGGTGACCCTGTAGGACAGTGGAACTGCCCGTCAGAGTTCCCGGGAAGCCTCGTCTTCCTCCCCTGGAGCACGTGGTGGGGTCAAAGCGCTGAGCTCTGCGTTAACTGCTGAGTGCCTTAGCCCCTTCAAGGAAGCAGGGGCCCCTCTGTTCTATCAAGGAAGTTTGTTCTGAAGTTAAGATGCAAGTGTCCCAGGAGACTGGCTCTGGGTTCAATGTGTCCTTTCCTGGGCCTGAGTCCCCGTGGCTGGTGAACTGGTGAATCTGGCGTCACGTCTTGTCTGGGAGGCCCTCCTTGGCCAGGTCGGGTGGCAGGTGGCTGGGATCCTGGGCACTGGCCAGACCCCAGCGGCTGTCTGCCTCCTGTCCACAGGCACTGACGGCCGAGATCGTGAAGACCATCCGTGACATCATCGCATTGAACCCTCTTTACAGGTCGGTCTGTACAGCAGGTTCACCCGCTGGGCTCCTTTGGGCAGGGTTGGAGGCACACACACACACCACCACCCAACCCCCGTCTGTGACCCCTCCCCTCTTCTTGCTGCTGAGGGCTGTGGCTGTGGCTGTCACCGTGGGCTGGGGAGGGGTCTGGCCAGGTCCTTGTGTTTGAGAGTAAGCGTGGTCTCACCACAGCGTTGGGGATGGGTGAGCCCATGGCTCTGAACGTGGGCAGACTCAGGCAGAGGATCTAACTCCCATGGGGTCCCCACAGGGAATCGGTGTTACAGATGATGCAGGCCGGGCAGCGCGTGGTGGACAACCCCATCTATCTGAGCGACATGGGCGCCGCACTGACCGGGGCCGAGTCCCACGAGCTACAGGATGTCCTGGAAGAGACCAACGTAAGAGCCCCCAGCGGCCGCACCCCACGTACACCTGTGCCCAACCAGCCCCAGCCCTGTGCGCGGCCCGAGCTCTACTCGAGAAGGAGCCCTATGGGCTGGGGGAGGGCTATCTGCCTGTGTCCATCTTCCTCATTCTCGTCATTCCCTCCTTGCCAGGGCCCCTGGGACTGGTCTGCCTGCTGTGGCCATTCCCAGCCACGGTTCTCCTTTCTGTGACTGGCCTTGTCCACTCTGCTTGTGGCCTGGGGCGGCTCTCTGTAGCTGGTGCTTCTAGAACTGGAACCCGTGGGTCTGAGGGTTTGGGCCGTTATACTTCTGTAGGGTGTGACCTGGTGGCTCTGCAGAGACCCTTACCATGGACAGCTCCCAAGACCTGTTGTCCTCCACCTGTCTTGGCACAGGCAGATGCTAGCCTGTGGCCATTCTCTTATGACTCCCCTTCCCCCCATTTCTTGATAGATACCCAAGCGGCTATACAAGGCCCTGTCTCTCCTCAAGAAGGAGTTTGAGCTGAGCAAGCTGCAGCAGCGCCTGGGCCGGGAGGTAAGCACACAGGGGCAGGTGGCTGTTTCCACAGTGAGTACCAGGCCCACCGTCAGCAGCTGGTCTGAGACTGCTGGCCACAGCAGGCCTCGAAGCCCTCCCTGCTGTGGAAATCCTGACGCCAAACGGCAGTCATTCATCCCCTCACCATGGGTTCCGGTGTCGTGTATTATACTGCTTACCTGGTTGGTGGTGGCTCAGTGGTAGAGTGCTCGCTGTTTGTGGAGCTCAGCAGGCTGGGCCAGAGCGCCTCCTACACACCCTCCACCTGTGTGTCCATCGAAGCCTGTGTGTTGCTAGGACACTGAACGGGTTTCCGCACTAAGGCAGGCAAGGAAGAAGGTGACCTAGCCACGGAAGACCCTGTGGGTCATAATGGCCCATCCGCAACCAGGCACTGAGGTGGCGCAGAATCAGGCAAGGGTTAGTCATGTGGTGCACAGGGTCCCGTGAGTCAGGGGCTAACTTGACAGCCGCTGGGAGACGACAGTAGAGCTGGTGTTCACATCAGCTGTGTGTCTGCCCTCCACATTGGAAGGTTTCGCATTGAAAATGGAAGGAGTTGGAGCACTAGAGAGCGAGGTTTTCTCTTCCCTGCATTCCTGGAAGACAGCGGGGGACCATGACTGCACCCCCCTCACCCCCGGCCAAGGCAGAGCCACACTTCAGGCCAGGATCTCCTGTGCACCCTGGTCCTGATGGCCCCCTTTGGCCCTGCAGGTGGAGGAGAAGATCAAGCAGACACACCGGAAGTACCTCCTTCAGGAGCAGTTGAAGATCATCAAGAAGGAGCTGGGCCTGGAGAAGGAGGACAAGGACGCCATCGAGGAGAAGTTCCGTGAGCGCCTAAAGGAGCTGGTGGTCCCCAAGCACGTCATGGACGTGGTGGACGAAGAGCTGAGCAAGCTGGGCCTGCTGGACAACCACTCCTCTGAATTCAAGTGAGTCTGCGGCCTCAGAAGTCCAGGTGACTGGTGGGGAGTCTGGGACACCAACCTTGTCAGCCGTGGGTACAGCTGGAGCTGAAAGGCCACAAGGGGGCACTCTAACAAATGTATTCCTTCACAGTTCTGAGGCTAGAGCCCAGCCACACAATACTGGGACTCACCTCACGGCCCAACCAAGATGACATTAACCATTGTGGCGTTATGTGCCAACAAGTCAGTTCCCACTTATAGTGACCCTGTATAGGGTCTCCAAGAGTGGCTGGTAGATTTGAATTGCTGACTTTGCAGTAACCAAGCTAGTGCTTATCCTACGGTGCCATACCAGAGCTCATAAACCAGCACAGTCCACCCCTTGTTGACTTCACACCTGTATGTAATCTCCTCTAAACAAAGACAATTATATACTCACACACCTAACACGATACACCTAGCATGCATACAGCCAAAACCCACCATCTTTGCTCACATCTCATGTTTTATCATAAACACACATACTCGCGTAACAAAACGAAGAAGGAATGCTCACAACAATTACAGCCTGCATTTCTACAACTGATCCCATGCTTGTGACAAGTATTCAGAACTGCTTTCTTCCACCGCCCTTTCTCTAGTCCTCTATCCTCACAGGCACCTCAGCTGGTTGTAGTTGTTTGCCTGGTGGTCTGGGCCATGTCACGTTAGAACTGGGCTGCTGTAGTTTCCCATTGACTAACCACAGGTCTGGGAGCACTCAGAGACGTCCTAGGATTCAGGTGACATTCTCTGCCTTCATTAGGAATGTCTGTCCAGTTTCCCCTTGGTGATCAGGGTCAGTCACAGCAGCCAGTACAGGGCCCCCTTCTTTGCCTATTGGTACAGAGGTGTGAGGAGCCCATAGTGCTCCCGGTTCAGTGGAGTCTATGCTGTGTCTCCAGGTGGGAGCGTTCAGACCTCCAGACCCACATAGAATAGAAGGTCCCAGGGACAGAAAGCTTTAATAGTGAGTGATGTGACCCACTCTCATTTTCCATCTCCCCTTGGGTGCTGGACCCTTGAATCCTGGCTGTGGGAGTAACTGCAGCATATATTGGGTGCTGGTTTAGAGCATATGCCCCCTCCTGGGGAACATTGCCCGAACCCTGCAAGGGACTGCCACCTAGCGGGAGCATTAGAGCCCAGTTCTAACGTGACATGGCCCAGACCACCAGGCAAACAACCACATGATTCTGTCTTTAGAAGGTCATTCCATCATTTGATCAAGACAGCTGCTTCAGGATGCTGAGGAATATAGTGGTTCCAACTCATAGCAACCCTGTATAGATTTCCGAGGAGTGGCTGGTGCATTTGATCTACCCACCTTGAGGTTCGCAGTCCAGTGCTTGTCCTACTAGGGTCTAGGACACCAGTGAATTCCCTGAGTGTGGATCTGTGACCACACTCAGTTTGCTGTGCAGTGAGCCCCTAGATCTGAGGTGATACTGAGTGGGGTACTATGGTAGAGGGTCCGGCGTTCTATAAGTCCACGGATGGCAGATTTGGCAGTAAATCCATATCCCGAGACATGTCTATTCCAGTAAGACCCAGACACTGCCCTCCATGACGGAGCTAGTCCTAGCTCATCAACCTGCCACCAGGTTGCTGGCTCATCTCCCTGAGGAATGGTCCCCCATCTGGGACTCCGTGTTAGTCCCTGCTGCCAGCAGACAGGGCGCTCAGCAGTGGCTGTGGGCAAGTCAGCCTTGGTATGTGGAAGCCCATCCTGCTGAGCCCACACCTGACCTTCCTCCTGCCACCATGGCTACTCTGTTCACCAGCCCACTGGGCAGGGAGAGGTGTGGGTAGGGAACGAGGAGGCCTGGTCTCCATAGAACGTGTCAGCCTGTCCACTTGGTTGTTAGAATCATCCTCTACTGAGGTGACCCTGTAGTGAGCATTCACATGAGACACAAATGTTTTCACAGAGCACTCTCCACACACCTCTCTCCCCCACACCTCCTTGTCACCAATCATGTTCCTTCCGAATCTCTGAGCATCTAGCCAGACCACTGGCCATAGTTATGTATCATGTCAGGTGATTCCCCGTCAGGATAGCAGATGACTCTTCCTCCACAGCTGGGTCATTCGCATGGTTTTCCTGGGGAGGGGGTTTAGCAGACAAAGATTGAATAGTCTCTGCAGAGAGGAGGGGTAATGGCTGTTGTCAGGCATGAGACAAGGCATTATAGGGACTCAGTTGCCTCCAGCTGCCTGCTTACCTGCTCATTGGTCCCCACCCCAGTGTCAGGGTCCCATTTCTTCCTCATCAGTAGCCTCACCTCAGGCAGCATTCAAGGCTGAGACTTCAGCTAGGTTTGGAATCCAGCCTCGCTCTGATGTCACTTTGGGTTTGACTTTTGACAGCGGCAGCTCGGTCCCCACAAGGAGTGAGGCTTCTTTTCAGGGCCCAAGCAAAAGCACTGAGGTCTTTATGCGGCGCTTGAGCCATGGCTCTGAAACCCTGAGCTCCTACCTATTTTTTAACCATCTTTTCCATGAAAGCAGGACCAGCTAAGCCCTTTCCATACCCTTCTCATTCCGACAAGATCGGAGAAAAGGATCAAACACGGAATTACCCAGAACCACCCTCAAGACACTATGTCTTAGGTTAGGTTCTTCAGAGAAACAAAACTAGTGAAGCGTGTACACGAGGGTGCTTCAGAAAGTTGGTGGGAAAATGAAACGAAAAGATCCTGGAATTTTCCCGCGGACTTTCTGAAGCGCCCTCCTGTGTGTGTGAGAGAGAGAACTGTTTATCTCGGGATGGCTGCTCTAGCTGATGACCCCACGTTCTGATTCTGATGATCAGAAAACAGGCCATGACCTCAGGACGCTGTGGAAGCAGGTGAATCCCAAAGTCGGCAGGACAGATGATAGGTGGCTGGCTCAAGTCCCGGGAGCCAGCGGTCCCGTGAAGATAAGCGGGTGCAGGGTCTGGAGCAGGGGAGACGTCATGGGAATTTCCATGCCCTTTCAATCCCACTGTTCCTTGAATTTTTTGAAGTCCTTTCCAGCGGTTCCACGGGAGAAAGATGAGGCTTTCTGCTCCCGTATAGATTTACAGCCTTGGAAAACCCTGTACAGGGTCACTGCGAGTTGGAACCAACTCTCTGGCTCTTAAGTTGTGGTGTGCACTGTGGGATAAGCATTCAACCACCAGGTCTATTTCAACATCAAGGTTGTGGTTCAGACTCACCAGCCACTCCTCAGAAACCCTATACAGACAGGGTCACTATGGGTCGGAACCAACTCAACAGCACTTAACAACAACAAGCCTGCCACAAACCCACCAGCTCTACACAGGGTCACTGAGAGTTGGAACCAATTTGACTTCACTTACCAACAACAACAATCATTGTTGATGCATTGTGTTGGTGTGTGGTTGTGTGCCATCAAGTTGGTGACTCACAGTGACCCTGTACAGGGTTCCCTGAGCTGAAAGTATTTGTGGGAGCAGAAAGCCTTACCTTTCTCCTGGGGAGCAGTTGGAGGGCTCACACTGCTGACCTAGTGGTTAGCAGCCCAATTCGTGACCCACTACGCCACTAGGGCGCCTTCATTAACACAGAGAGGGGAGGATTTGCTACACAGAAATTGGAGAGTTAAGTGTGTCACATCGCAGAATGGAGGCCAGCCACACAACATTGGGAAGGAATCATGGCCTAGCCGAGTTGACGTGTGACGCTGACCCTTACATCCCCCACTTCAGCGCCTTGATTTACTCACACTCCGTGCAAGGCGTCATGTTCACAGGTTTCCAGCTTGATTGGCGGGGATGGGGAGTGTTCCAGGTGGTGTGGCTATAGACATCAGAGATGAGTAGGCTGAGGACATCTCTGGGCACCTTTCTGTCTCCCTCAGAGCTTGTGTCCTTCCTTGGTCAGCACCGAGTCATGTGGGTATTCACCACTGGCTGTCCCGGTGCTTCAGAGGACAAGCCCACGTCAGTTACATGGGGCTGGGACCCCCTCTTGGGGCACTATATGCCAGAACCCTGGCTTGCCTGTCACCTCCCAGACAGCTTTGTGGTCTGTGAAAGGACCCAGTCGGCTGTGGTCACAGGTTCTGTGTCCTCTGGGCCTGCGGTCAGCCTGTTCATGTCCAGCACCAGAGGGTGAGCCCACTGCTGACAGTGTTCACAGCAGCACTCCAACGCCTGTACCCCGAAGATTCTAGGCCTGGCGTTTGCCTTCCCCCCAGCGCATACCTACCTTGATTCCCCACTTGCCCTGGACACCCTCAGGTCCACCCTGGTGGCCTTCAGTGGAATGAGGCCAGAGGCTCAGCACAGCTCCATGCAGCTCCCTGTGGACATGTGCCTGGAATGTACCGTGAGGCCCCCACTCAGCCGCGGTCCGCTGGGCGCTGCACCAGGCTGGGGTCACCAGCTCCTGTCTCTCCTGTGGCAGCGTCACCCGTAACTACCTGGACTGGCTGACGTCGATCCCGTGGGGCAAGTACAGCGATGAGAACCTGGACCTGGCGCGGGCCCAGGCGGTGCTGGAGGAGGACCACTACGGCATGGAGGACGTCAAGAAGCGCATCCTGGTGAGCCCACGTCCTGAGCGCGCTGCATCAGGGCGTCTCATGCGTTTGCCTTGCCAATAAGCGTCCCTGGACCCTGGGTTTCACGTGTGCTGTGTGGGGTCCCACAGGAACTAGCTGGGGGCTGATGGGGCGGAGGGACTCCAACCGGAGGCATGCAATGATAGCGGGGGAGCCGGACAAGTGCTGCACTATGAAGACCCTTCCCTGAGAGTGGGCTGGCAGAGTCTGTGGGTCCAGGGAACTGGGTGCTGCTGGTCACACATCCCTGGGCACAGGCTTGGCGCTGAAGGGAAACACCCACCAGCTGCTCCGCTAGAAAGACGACTTGTGTTCCCAGAAGGATGTGCAGCCTTGGGAACCCTGAGGAGGGTCCGCATGAGTCAGACTCAGAACCAACTGGATGGCCCCGGGTGTTGGGACCACAGACGGCCCTCACAGGAAGTGACAGTTCCAGCTGACCAGCCCCTCGGGGAAGAGCCCAATCCCCTTAAGAAGCCTGGCGAAAGTGGGAGGTGTGGGGCTCAGGGTCCTAGAACACAGACCTGTGTCTCTTAGCTCCCCCCTCCCCGATTTGGAGCGGGGCATATCTCTTGTGGCCCCCACCATGGAGTGAGGGTGTGTCTCTGAGCCCCACCTCTGCCTACAGGAGTTCATTGCAGTCAGCCAGCTCCGAGGCTCCACCCAGGGCAAGATCCTCTGCTTCTATGGCCCCCCAGGTGTGGGCAAGACCAGCATCGCCCGCTCCATCGCTCGCGCCCTGAACCGCGAATACTTCCGTTTTAGTGTCGGTGGTATGACTGACGTGGCCGAGATCAAGGGGCACAGGTAGGCCTCGCTCCCCGAGTCCCTCAAGGCTCCCTCAGCCCTGGGTCAGGTTCCTTCTCTTTGGGTCCCCACTTGACATTTGCAAGTAACCTGTTCCCCTTGCTCTGGATCAAAGAACTGAGGCCTAGGTGTGAGACGACTTCAGTTCAGGCCTGACTAAATCCAGGCATTCAAACAACCGCAGTCTCAGCAGACAGCCCCTGGTAGCTCTAATCCTGCCCCAGCAGATCAGCCAGCTGATGAGAGTACCCACCAGGTGGGCGCCTGTGGACCAGTGTTGAGGGGACATGGGGGTCCCAATGAGACCAGGAGCCCCAGCCCCCTTCCTCTTCTCCCATGACCAAGGACTAGGCCTCCTCCGGCCCTGGGGGTGGGTTGGCACAGGCATTCCAGCTCTGCCAGTCAGCGGAGACGGGTGTGAGGTGTGTGGTCTGTTTGCCCCTGCTGGGATCATCCTGTGCGGAGTTGAAAGGCGTGAGACTATGTTTAAAAACTAGGAGCTCTGCACATCAGTTCTGGTGCCCTGGAGTGCCCTGGACCGCATCTGGCGTGGGGATGGGCCAGATCCCGGCTAGGCACAGCTTCCACCCACCGCCGTCTGGACCCCAGGGGCTTGTCTTGCTGGTCTCTCTGCTAGGGCCTGCTGTGGGCGCTGAGATGCCCGGTCAAGGACACTCAGTGGGAGATGACAAGACCAGGGAAGCAGGGCAGAAAGGTCAAGACGGACGGGGGTCCGGCCTTAGAGAGCTTAGAAAGGGCAGGGTGTCATCCCCCCAGGAAGAAGCTGTGGGCTTGGGGCAGTAGAGTGGGCTGAGGGAGGCCAAAGAGCCCCTGCTGGCAAGCGGTGTGAGGCAGGCCCAGCGGAGGGGCACAGCCAGGACAGGTGGGGGTGGCGGGGGTGGGGATGCCTAAGTTCAGGAGCCTGCCCGGAGGCTCAGCCAGGTCTATGCCATACCTGCTGGTGAGCTCCCACATTTGAACTCTGTCCCCTTCAAGGGTCCCTCCTCTGAGCCTCAGGGAGTGTGTTGGCATCTCCCCACATCTGCAAGTTGGGATGATCCTCTGCAGGTGGCCACCACTGCCAACATCCCATGGTCCCGGAACTCCCCCTCACCTCAGGGTCAACGCTGCCGTCTCCCCCATACAGACGCACATACGTGGGAGCCATGCCCGGAAAGATCATCCAGTGCCTGAAGAAGACCAAAACCGAGAACCCCCTGATCCTCATTGACGAGGTGCGGGGGCGAGAGACGGGCTTGGGGGTTTGGGGGTGCATCCCAGTCACTGTGGAGCCTCAATAGGGGGCGAGGGCGCTACTTTCCTGCCCACAACCATACCTGCTAGCCACTCTGTGACCCACCCCACAGCCTGCAAGGGCTGTTCCTACCTGGTCTCCCACCCGGCAACAGTGCCCCCTACCCACTCCTGCCTCAGGTGGACAAGATCGGCCGGGGTTACCAGGGTGACCCCTCGTCAGCGCTGCTCGAGCTGTTGGACCCAGAGCAGAATGCCAACTTCCTGGACCACTACCTGGATGTGCCCGTGGACTTGTCCAAGGTGCGAGGCCCGCTGGGAAGGGGGCTGGCAGGGCTGTAGTGGGGTAGGCGGTCCTTGGCACTTTGAGCTCCTCCTAGGTGCTGTTCATCTGCACAGCCAACATCACTGAGACCATCCCCGAGCCGTTGCGGGACCGCATGGAGATGATCAATGTGTCCGGCTACGTGGCCCAGGAGAAGCTGGCCATCGCAGAGGTGAGGTCCGCCCTGTGGCAGACCCTGTAGGTCCCTGCCCTCAGGAGCTGGCAGCCAAAATGAGATTGGGGAAGAGGCTACATGGAAGGGTTTAGTGTGGTTGGAGGGCGTGCTGGGTGTTCTGCATGTCCTTCGTCTGCAACTGAAGGCACAGGCTGACTGTCCATTAGGTGGCCTCTATTCTTCTCTAGTCCTAGAGGGCCCTGACGTAGTTCTGTTGTTTCTCCCCCGCTCCCACCACCCCCAGCGGTATCTGGTGCCCCAGGCCCGGGCCCTGTGTGGCCTGGATGAAAGTAAGGCCAAGCTGTCCTCAGACGTACTGACGCTGCTCATCAAGCAGTACTGCCGGGAGAGCGGTGTTCGCAACCTGCAGAAGCAGGTGGAGAAGGTGAGCCCGCTGCCCTGCCCCGGCCACTCCCATCCCCACCACCACCCCCACTCTGCCCACCCCCACCCATTCTCCTCCCCAGGTGTTGCGGAAGTCTGCCTACAAGATCGTCAGTGGCGAAGTTGAGTCTGTGGAGGTGACACCCGAGAACCTGCAGGACTTTGTGGGGAAGCCTGTCTTCACAGTGGAGCGCATGTACGACATCACACCCCCGGGCGTGGTCATGGGACTGGCCTGGACTGCCATGGGTGAGCAGCGCCCAACCACACCTTGAGAGCAAGCCCCCCCGCCCCCGTGCCCCTGGGCTGCTGCTGCTGCTGGGGTGATGGAGCCACTGGGTGGGCTATGAGCTCACAGGGTCTACCTGCCTCCCAGGAGGCTCCACACTCTTTGTTGAGACATCCCCAAGGAGGCCCCGGGACAAGGACGCCAAGGGGGACAAGGACGGGAGCCTGGAGGTGACAGGCCAGCTGGGGGAGGTGATGAAGGAGAGTGCCCGCATAGCCTACACCTTTGCCAGGGCCTTCCTGATGCAGCGGGACCCTGCCAATGACTACCTGGTGACCTCACACATCCACCTGCATGTGCCCGAGGTCAGTGCCCACCTGCCCTTGGTGCCCACCATCTGCTCCATACCTGCCCAAGGCACCCCACCCACACGCCCACCTGCTGTTTCCCCCAGGGTGCCACACCCAAGGACGGCCCAAGCGCTGGCTGCACCATCGTCACGGCCCTGCTGTCCCTGGCCCTGGACCGGCCGGTGCGGCAGAATCTGGCCATGACCGGGGAGCTCTCCCTGACGGGCAAGATCCTGCCTGTGGGTGGCATCAAGGAGAAGACCATCGCGGTGAGCCCTGGACCAGGAGCCCAGCGTGGCCGCAGCCCCACAAAGGAAGGGCAGTGAGCACGGCACAGGTGGCAGAAGGGCTAGATTAGGACCCGGGGTTCAGCTCCTGGTGCCCACTGCTCCTCCACCCTTCCACAGGGCTTCTCAGGAGCCTCCCCCAAGAGTCCATCTGTGCTCACCCATGAACTCTGGGCTTCAGAGGGGTGGGGTGGGGTCTTTAACATCTCCTCTGATACTGTCTCTGATACTGTCTCTGATACAGTAGCCTCTGATACTGTCCTTCACCAGGAACATCAACTGTTCAGGGGGCCATGGTGGCTGGGTGACCCAGTCCAACAGCCCTTCCTCACCTGGAGGCTCAGAGACAGTGCCCTCAGTGTCCCAGGAGCACGGTGGTGACAAAACACCTGTCCTCCCCCCTGGGGAAGGCCAGTGGGACTTGGGCTTCTCCCCAAGCGAGCTGGGAGGTCTGGAGAGCTGTCTGGAAATTCTGCTCTTCAACTTTGCAATGTCGATCAGAAAAGCAGGTTCTCACTGCATGGTTCCAGAGTGGGGGGCGACAGGAACCACTGGATAGGGAGCTCAGTTTCCTCATCTCAGCCATAGGCCAGCCCCACAACTGTGTCCCTCCTTTGCAGGCCAAGCGTGCTGGCGTGACGTGCGTAGTGCTGCCAGCCGAGAACAAGAAGGACTTCTATGACCTAGCGGCCTTCATCACCGAAGGCCTGGAGGTGCACTTCGTGGAACACTACCACGAGGTCTTTGATATTGCCTTCCCTGGGGAGGAGGCCTCACAGGCCCTGGCTGTGGAGCGGTGACGGACCCAGGCCCGCTGGACTGGACTGGACTCTCGGGCTACCAGGCCAGGCCATGTAATTGGCAGAAGGCACTCGGGACAGCAGCCCGGGCACAGGCCCTCAATTATGGTTTAATCAGAGTCTGGCACAAGAGATGTTTAATTATGATTAAAAACCATTTCCATTACTAAGTGGCTATCTGCTTCTGCCCACTGCCACCTCTCCCCACCCAGTCCCAAGACCAAGAGGTGATGCAAAAAGACAAAACCATCCCTCCCTCCTCCCAGGCTGCTGCACACACAAAGGAGCCAGGCGGGAACTGGGCGTTTGTGTAAAGGTTTTTATTAGGAGGGGAGGGAGGGCAAAGTGGACAGGGACCTGCTCAGTCCTTCTTGGCAGCTGCTTTCCTCATGGCAGCCAGGACGTTGCTGAGCTCCTCTCGCTTCCTCTTGGCACGGATGTGTGTCCCCACCTGCAGGACACAGGACTGGTCAGCTCAGCCTGGGGTCCATACCCATCCCGCCCTGCCCGGGGTCCACCTACCCTTTTCTTGATGAACTTGAGTGCCCGCTTGTCCTTGGACACCTTGAGCAGCTCCATGGCCCGACGCTCATAAGGCGCAAAGCCACACACCTCCCGGATCATGTCCCGCACGAACTTGGTGTGCTTGGTGAGGCGCTAGGGACAGGAGAGGTGCCATCAGGGCCATGGGGCTTCCTTCTCCGCCAAGCCCACCCACCCTCAGTGTGCCTGTTTCCCCAGACATGACAATAGTCCCTTCCTGGGTCACGATGGAGGAATTAACAGAACAGGTCCCTGGTGATAACACTGAGGCCACGCAGAAGTCCTGTGGTAGTAAGACCTGGCAGCTCTCTTAAAAGATGACAGCCTCGCTGTGACGTCTTCCCACTGTCACACGGGGTCGCCTGTGGCCATAGAGGGCACCCAAGGGGCCCAATACAACTAGACAGCAGGAATCCTCCCAACACAAGTCCAATTTTGGGACAAAAGCGAGGTGGCACGGAAGCCTAGCCAGGCCCTTCTCCCAACTCGCTCCTGCCCTTTGCCCAGGCTGTCCTCTTGGGCCTAGGCTCCCCATCCACTGGGCACAGGTAGGAGCCTGCAACACTCAAGGCCTTCCCTTTCCCCTCCAAATCTTAACGTTAAGTGTTGTGACCAGGTGGCAAGGAATGCCCCCTCCCCGCCTTCCACTAGACTAAATCCTACTCATACGTGGAAACCCGCTCAGTCCCGCGGCCCGCCTGCTCAGGTTCGTTCGCACGGGAAGGGCAGGGCAGGGCAGGTCGAGGTTTTTTCAGATAGGTGCTCACCGAGCTCAACAGGCATCCTGCGTTCACCAGTCTGAGCAAGTCCAACTACCCCTCTTCTCAGTTCAAACCCAACCATGGCTCCCCACTTCCCTCCAAGAGACCCCACACCAATCCCATCACGGATCCGGGACCGACACTCACCCCACGGCGGCGGCTGTGCCTCGGCTTGCTCACGTTCTTGGTTACTTTGTGGCCCTTGTTGAGGCCAACGGCCATAGGGTAGCGCACAGCCATGGCTGGGACAGAACAGGGAGAGGAAGTGGAAGTGAGTCCCGGGTTGGTCTCTGCCGCCCGGAACCCCGCGCCCCTGCTCGCTCGAGCTCGCTAGTTGCACCCTGCTGTACCCCAACCCGTGCTACCTCTTCTGGAGGCCAGATGACAACGGATCCCGGCCGCACAAAAATACACTTACCAGCTTTCCTTCAATGGCTGCTACGGCGGAAGGAAGGAGCCGCGCGGAACTCTGGGATATCTACTCTGGTCCCGAGGCGCAGGCCAGAGAGGCAGGAAACGAGCGCTCTCCCCCTGGTGGCTGGAGGAGTCGCTGCAGATTTAATGAGCATGCGCGATTGAGCTTCGCGCACGTATCGTTGTTGTTGTTGTGGTTGTGGTTGTTAGGTGCCATCGAGTCGGTACCGATCCATAGCGACCTTATACACAACAGAACGAACCACGGCCCTGTCCTGGGCCAACCTCACAATTGTTGCCATGCTTGAGCTCATCGATGCTGCCACTTGGCCAATCCGTCTCCCTGGGGGTCTTCCTCTTTTTCTCTGACCCTCCACCTTACCAAACATGACATCCTTCTCCAGCGACTAGTCCCTCCTGATAATATGTCCGAAGTATGAGAGATGAAGTTTGGCCATCCTGGCCTCCAGGGGGCGCTCTGGCTGCACTTCTTCCAACACAGATCTGTCTGTTCTTTTGGCAGCCCTTGGCACTTTCAATATTCTCCTCCAACACCATAACTCAAATACATCAATTCTTCTATGATCTTCCTTATTCACTGTCCAGCTTTTGCATGCATATGAGGTTACTGAAAATGTATGCACCCTCTATTCCTTATAAAATTCCATCACACAGAAAAGACGGGGCTCAGCCTCTAGATATGAATCCACTGAGCCATGTGCTAGCACAATAAAGCCCTTCCTTTGTTACAACATGCATGCTGTTGGCAACTCCTTCAGAGCGACTCCAGGAACATTTCTGGTGCGTTGGCCAGGAGACTTCTCTGCGCTTGAAGGACTGGCCACGGAGCTGTTGCCGCCCTGGGAGCAATGGATGCCAAGGTGGACCCTCGTTCTGGGGGTGACTGTCTACTGAGTGCACCGGCGAGATTTCTCGCTGTGTGGACCCTCTCCTCCATACTGGATCCTTATCCCTAAGGGACCAAAGCAGGTGAAGGAACGACTAATCCTGGACTTCTGAACCACAATAAGGGTGTGGGCCCACAGGTAGTCAGACCTGGTCAACGACCAGAAGGGAGACCTGATCAACCTCAGACCACCGTCTGAGTACCTACAACATGGTGGTCTTCGGTTTGAAAAGGGTCGTCTTGTGTGCAGGAGTGAGTTTATCTGGCACCAGGCCAGTGGCGAACCTCATACGTCTTAGGGAGCCCATCCTCACTGCTAGCGCCGAGTGGACTCCTGGTTCAAAACTCTCCAAATCTAAGAGGTACTTGAAAACCCTTGAAAGAGGAACAGCAGGGACTGGACGTGCTCTGTCTGTTGTGAACTCGCCGCCATGGGAGGCACACAGGGGAAGGAAATATCTCTAAAACTTATGCTCAGGAACTTCAAAAAAGAGTATGCTCAGAATTATGGAATCAGACTCCATCCAGGGAAACTGAGGCCTTTCTGTGAGGTGGACTGGCCTGCTTTTGGGGTAGGCAGGCTTGCGGAAGTGAACTCTTAAACAGGCCCCCCACACAACGTGTGTGGCGAGTAGTAACTGAGGGACCAGGTCACTCTGACCACTTTCCCTACATTAACACCTGGCTCCAATTACTTCTACGGCCACCCACATGGTTGCGAGAGCCGGACAGCCAAGTCCTAGTTGCATGGGTCAGTGGTTTACCTGAATCATCAGGTAGCATTGAAAAGGCCAAAATCCCAGGGGGGCCCTGTGTCTCCTGCACTCACTGTCTCCTATTTTGAGATCTCCTTGATTCATTCTGGGTGCACATATTGGGGCATGGTAGGCAGAAAGTAATTTCCTAAAAGCATCCCTTCTGTTTCTGGTAAGGTTAACCTCTGTATCTGAAATGGGAGTAGAGGCCTCAATTCCAATGATATGATGTAATTCTAACTGATTTCTATATGAGTACCCTCCTATGACATCAGAGGAAATGGTGCTTGACTATAATACAGCTCGGCCAATGTATGATCTTAAATGATGGAAAAATAACCTTTGAATGGATCCTTAAAATTATTATACCATCTTACAGCTTGAATTGTTAAACCACTGTGTCCGATTGTCTATTTGTTTGTAAAATTACTGTTTTTGTCCTTTATTTATTTAAGAAACTGAAAACAACCTGAAATTCCAAGAATATGTAAGTTATATGGCATATATGTACTATAATGCACTTACACCGCTAATATGGAAGCCTTAATACAGTTAAGTGTTCAGTGAAAACAGAGTTCTAAACAGGCCTGTACGTGAATATACAAAGAGATAAATGGTTACTTTTTTGTTAAGTGTAACTTTAATTGTATTAATGTCTGATTACAACTCCTGGTACACCAGCAGCTGCCATTAGGGAAAAGTACAGCTTGACCTAGTGAACCTGCCCGGCCATACTCAGCCACTGAGGAAAGCAGTTTGGAAGTGATTTCTCTATACCATCCCCTTCAAGGGACCCATTTCGGTAGAGGACTACCCGGAACAGAGGCAAGGCAATACCCCCTCCGCAGATGCCCATAGGATCGAATACTGAAGGGCAGACTTCAGGATATTACTGGGCACGTACTTCTTCCTCTATCTTGGGCTTGTTAAATAGGAACAATTCAAATCCTTCTTATTGAGATGTTGGGTCGGTTCTGACTCATGGTGACCCTGTATGAGTTTTCCGAGGAGCGGCTGGTGGGCTTGAACCGCTGACCTTGTGGTTCAGACGAACTTGGTGGTCCAGCGCATTGACCCACACAGTGCCACACCAGGATGGCCTAACCAAAATAACAAATTTAATAACCACTATTTTTGCTACCCATCATCCTAATAGGGAAGATATCCAGTGTCTATGGACAATGCTCCTGACCAGCGATGAAAAAAAGGGTGGTCTAAGGTAAGGCATGGGACAAAACAGCACGCATCCAATGAAAAAACCTGAATGGACCCTTGCCTCAGTCAATGCAATTCCTCTAGCTGACACAAATTAAAATCTAAATGGGCTTGCCACGACTGGCGGTGGTGGTGGTTATGTGGAGTCAGTTCCAACTCATAGCGACCCTGTACAGGGTTTCCGAGGCTGTAAATCTCTGCAGGAGTGGAGGGCCTCATCTTTCTCCTGCGGAACAGCTGGTGGTTTCGAACTGCTGACCTTGCGGTTCACAGCCCGATTCATAACCACTGCACTACACTGGTGTTATTGTTATGTGCCGTGGAGTTGGTTCCGACTCATAGCGACCCTGTACAGGGTTTCCGAGGCTGTACATCTTTACGGGAGCAGAAAGTCTCATCTTCCTAGCATAGTCGTTACGAATCGGGCTG